TACTCAATACACACACACACACATACACACACACAGGTTAGTGCTAATTCTTGTATGCTTGGATGTTCACGTTATTATTTTTTGTATAGTACATTGACTTTATAAATACCTTTGTGTATGATGTAGTTCATTGCAAGCATTAAAGAAGTATAGTTGGAGAATAAATTTAACAAACTAAGATGAGAAAGGATTGTATTAAATTAAGTATCCTATTACAACTGTCAAAAAGTGAGTTGGAGTCTCTGTTAAAATTAAAGCAAAGAGTTTAATGAAACTATAAAGCAATCCAGATAGGGCAGCACTTCTTGAGGATTCACAAAAGTACTCCAGTGGAAGAAACTTTTCATAGGGTTTTAAGTACAGAAAATTCAGGAACTTATAAGGAAAAAACCTGATTGCTTGACATTTGCAAAATCACGTTTTAACAGACACCAGACAATTATGAGATCTCTTAAGCATTGTTTTGTTAATCATAAAGTTTGAGTCAGTTAACTTCTTGCTAATCTGTGGATATTCTGGGGGCCAGCCTGAGTGAATATTCTTCCTGGGAGCATGCTATGAGAGGAAGGGAGGCGAGAGGAGCCCATAGGCTTCCTGAGGTATTCTGGCTAGCTGACTTTTGAAAGTCAGCTCAAAATGAGCAGTGAACAACAAAAATGGAGTCCAGCCTACATCTCTGGCAGAAGCCTTTCCTTATGCCAAGCACTTAGATTTTGGGGGCTCCTTCACATAACTTGGAGCCCTGGTGGAACAGTAGTTAAGAGCTTGGCTGCTAACCAAAGGGTCAGCAGTTGGAATCCAGCAGGCGCTCCTTGGAAACCTGATGGGGCAGTTCTCCTCTGTCCTATAAGGTCTCTGTGAGTTGGAATCGACTCAACGGCAATGGGTGTGACTTTGGTTTCACACAACGTAAGATTTCAGGATGGTGTATTTCTGGGTTATAAATAAGTATGTTGTGGTAACGGAAAATGAAGTTGTAGTGCAATGGAATGAAAATTGATGGAGTGGATGAGGTTAAGGAATTTTAAAGCCAGGTTTGATAGGCTACCTACAGCTCTTGATATCATGAAGGATGATGACCGGTTAGTCAATGGGTATAACAGTGTTATTTTAGAGTCAAACTAAGGGACACATTTGAAGTAACTACAGGTGCGGTAGAACGATCAGAATTACTGTCACTATAAATCCTTTACCATCATGTCACTTCCGACTCAGCAATGTTGTACGACAGAATAGAACTGCCCCATAGGGTTTCCAAGGCTATAATCTTCATGGAGGTAGACTGCTACATCTTTCTCCTGAGGGACAGCTGGTGGGTTCCAACCACAACTTTTGATTAGTAGCTGAGCACTTAACCACTGTGCAACCAGGGCCTCTCACTGTCACAATGGCTGAATATAATTAGTTATTTTTTAAAATGTTGAAATTTTATGATTTGGTTTATATAATAACCTTAAAATCAATACATGTTTTCAGCTCTCTCTCATTACCCTTACCATTATTTTGTCATATAAGTGAACTTACCAATGCTCTAACTGCAGGCTCTATCCCCTCTAATTTCCCAAAGCAGTGTAGGTTTGAAGCAAAGTAATTATTGAAACTCTAGTTCTCCTTTCCCCCTCCACCAACCAGGCATGAGGAGTTTGCACGCGCATAAGGAATTTCAATTCAGTTTTCTTACATCTCTGATCTGGTGAGTGGGACACCCTAAATCTTGTGGGGCTTGGCCATAATAAGGAAAGCTAGGATAAGGTCCAATTTCCCTTTCCCCTAGATATGTGATAGAAAAACTGGCACAGCAGCTTTCTCTGCTGGTTAATAAATAAGTAGACCTAAGTAACATAAAAAAGGAAATTCTCCATGATGCATGTTATCTGATTTAAGTTAAAGGTTGGGGACCAGGTATTGTCTTATAACCACCTTGTGACAACGACTCAGGATTGAATGATCATGAGTCCACCCCCACCACCATGAAACCAGGTAATTAAAACCCCAGAACCAATCCCGTAACCTTTTTTAACCTGTAATTATGTATGTATCCTAATCATGGTCCCTTCCCTGCTTCTGTAGTCCCTACTACGACAGTGATGAATTGACCTGCTACCAGTTATGACCTTGTGATTATGTCTTCGTTCTTTATAATATATAATAGACACCTTGACTGATTCAATGGATCCCTTCAGCTTCTGTACTGAGTACATGCTGACATTCTCCCTCGTTTGAATGATCATCTTTGTCTCTGTCTTGGTGTAATAAAATTTTCTTCTAATTAAACTTGAGTCTGCGATCTTTTTCTGCTACAACATCTTAACTGAAGAAAATTGTCATTTACATTGATCTTAAGTCTGCTTTTAAATATTTATTACTTACATGTTAGTGGGCCTTGATGAAAATAATAATACTAATGTGCTTCCTTCTGCTTTTGAAATTCCTTGTTTTTGTGTTGTTAGGAGCCATTGAGTCAGTTGCAAACCATAGTGACCCTATATACAAAAGAATGAAATACCGCTCAGTCCTGCACCATCCTCACAATTGTCGCTATGTTTGAGCCCATTGTTGCAGCCACTGTGTGAGTTCATCTCACTGAGGGTCTTCCTCTTTTTTTGCTGACCTTTCTTTCTTTACTAAGCTTGATGTCTTTCTCCAGGGACTGATCCTTCCTGATAACTCGTCCAAAGCACATGAGACAAAGTCTCTCCATCCTCACTTCTAAAGAGCATTCTGGCTATACTTCTTCCAAGACAGATTTCTTCGTTCTTCTGGCCGTCCATGTTATACTTAATATTCTTGTTGTCTGTAGGTCAGAAGTTCATAACTTGGGGACTTAATGTATAAACCTTTGTGTATCTTGGATAGATAGATACCTAGGAGTGGAATCACATGGCTATATGATAAGAGTATGCTTAATGTTTAATAAAGAGTCTACTTGTAACGTTCTACATTGCCATCTGCTATGTTTGAGAATTGGAGTTTCTCATATCTTTGCAAATACTTGGTGTTGTTAGTGTTTGTGATTTTAGCCATTCTAGTGTGTGCATAATGGTGTCTTGGTGTATTTTAATTTGCATTCCTTATGCCTAATGATACTGATGATATGTTTATTTGTGATCCTTGTATCTTCTGAGATTCCTGTTACATGCAGAACAGTGGGGTGAGGATTGTGGCTCAGGTTAGATTAATAAGGGTAAGGAGTGAGAACAATCATCAACAATGTTCCTATTTAGACTGTTGTCTGGGTTTTGGTACCAACACTTCTTCTGGAACAGGAATAGCAAGTGCTGTAGATTTTTGCTGTTTTCTTTGACCATATTTTCATCTTTTCTGCTCTACTATGAGAGATTTCTTCAGTTGCTGATGCCTGCCTTTGTAGAAACATTAATTAATCGATATGCTTGAGCTCTCTACTTCTTGTGATTTTATTCTCTCAAATAGTCCTACTTAAAATTACCTTCTTCATTCCAAGATGATTCAGGAAGGATATTGAAGTTATTTGGCAACCAGTACAATTTTATAAATTAATATATAAAATATATAAACCATAAATTAATTGCATTTTTATTTATTTTCACTAAATACTAAATGATATAAGTTGGTATGCACATCACACATCGAATCATCCTGCTACTTCATTTTTTCTATATTCATATATTAGATTATTTGTCATATAATCTGAGTAGGTTAGCCTGAAATTCAGTCTAGGTTAACTCCATTTATTTGCTTTTCTATAGCAATTTAAATTTTATATCACAAAGCTTATGGAGAACTTGTAACTAAAATCACATAGACATGTGATTTTTAAAGTTAATGTCTAGGCTACACCACTATACCGCAAATCTCAGAACATAGGAATGAAATTGGTTTTTTTTGGATATTTCTATACCCATAATATTGTAATAAGCTAGGCAGACAATATATACAGTTGTTGAAAAGGGGAGGAAATAACTAAATACATGAGTTGAAATGTAAGTTACTAGAACCTTAACAAAATGATCAATTTATTTTAGAATACATCATGGACAGATTTTGAAAAATTATAAGTTTTCAAATGTAGGACTATACATCTGTTTAGAAAAAAATTCTTTCAAAAACCCAGGTGAAAAAAAGAAGTGAGTATCATTTCGGGGAAAGTCATACTGAATGATCATCACAGTGAAATGTAGTGATGATCTATGAAATACAGCTCTGTCAGTACAAAACACAAATTATTTTAATGAGATTTATAAAAAAAATAAAATAAAATCAATGACAAAAAAATCTTTAACATGATTTAAAAAAATTAAACCAAACATTTAACTGCCAGCAGGAAACAATATAGAAATTGAATGGAATAAGAACTCACAAATAAAAATCAGAGTTATATATCTAACAGAAGAACATGTAAGAGAATATAATTGTGAGCTATCTATGAAAAAAATCTTGTTAATTATCCCAACAAAAATTAAACATAGAAAAAATAATTTGCTAAATTGGAGTTAAGTATTTTTGTTCAACACTATAGACAATCAAAAAATATAAGAAAATAAATAAACAAGTAAAAGCCAAAGAATAAGATATTTGCAAGCTCTAAAATTGACCAGGGATTAAACAAAAAAAAACAAACCCACTGCGATTGATTCGATTCTAACTCATAGCAACCCTATAGAACAGAGTAGAGCTGCCCCATAGGGTTTCCAAGGCTGTAAATCTTTACAGAAGCAGACTGTCACAGCCTTCTCCCATGGAGCTGCTGGTGGGTTCAAACCACTGACCTTTCAGTTTGCAGCCGAGCACTTAACACCTGTGCCACTAGGGATGCTTTTTAACCAGGGATTACTAATAACTAATTAGAATATAAAAAGAACGAATTTAATTGCAAATAAGATTGGCACACTATACAAGTAATATTTTTTATATATTTGTAAAGCAATAGATGTGCCAGAAGAGAAGAAATGTGCAACTCCAATTTCATTTTTAACAACAGAAATTCATGTAGATTTCTGAAATTATGAATTGGCAAATATGTGCTTGCTTCAGCAGCACATTTACTACAATTGGAAGGATGCAGAGAAGATTAGCATGGCCCCTACTCAAGGGTGACATGCAAATTCATGAAGCGGTCCATAGTTTTTAAAAAAGGATCATCTTTGGTGAAGGGAAGGACAACACACAATACAGGGGAAGTCAGCACAACTGGACCAGAGCAAAAGCTAAGAAGTTTCCTGAACACATCCAAACACTTTGAGGGCCAGAGTAGCTGGGGCTGGGGCCTGGGAATCATAGTTCTTGGGGACATCTAGGTCAATTGACATAACAAAGTTTATTAAGAAAATGTTCTGCATCCCGCTTTGGTGAGTGACGTCTGAGATCTTAAAAGCTTGGGAGCGACCCTCTAAGATGCATCAGTTTGTCCCAACCCACCTGGAACAAAGGGGAATGAAGAACACCAAAGACACAAAGAAAATATTAGCCTAAGAGACTAAAGCTCAACATAAAACAGAGTCCATCAGCCTGAGACCAGAAGAACCAGATGATGCCTGGCTACCACCAATGACTGCCCTCACAGGGAACACAACAGAGAGTCCCTGATGGATCAGGAGAAAAGTGCTGAGCAGAACTCAAATTCATGTAAAAAACCCAGACTTAATGGTCTGACTGAGACTGGTGGAGCCCCCAAAACTATAGCCCCAAGACACTGTTAACCCAGAACTAAAACCACTCCTGAAGCCCACACTTCAGATACAGATTAGACAGGACCATAAAACAAAAAATAATACATGTGAGGATGTACTTCTTAGTTCAACTGGATACACAAGACCAAATGGGCAGCTCCTGTCCGGAGGCAGGATGAGAAGGCAGGAATGGACAGGAACTGGTTGAATGGACACAGGAACACAGGGTGGAAAGGGGGAGTGTGCTGTCACACTGTGGGAATTGCAACTAATGTCACAAAACAATATGTATATAAATTTTTGTATGAAAAATTAACCTGAGCAGTAAACTTTCACCTAAAGCACAATAAAAAAAAAGGAAAAAAAGAAAAAAGAATTGGTAAATATATTGTTTATCTTTCAGCAAGGTTTTTAAAAAGTTTAGAAGAATCTCATTTAAATTAGTTTGAAAAGCCTATATTGATTATTAGAAACCTGTTTAATGTTATTAAGAGTATCATATCCAATAAATATGATTTCCTATTGTGATGGGATTCTAGATTAGTAAAAAAATTGGCACTCTGAATTGTTGAATGATACAATTAGGAAACAAATAGATCCTTAATATGGTCTTGATTTCCACTTCTAGCCATAATGGAGTATAGGTAGATGAACTACCTGCCTTAATCGACCAGAAAATAGGATAAGACTAAGAATTAATGTCTGTCACATATTGGACAACAGGCAGCTCATGACAGTGAGAGAAGGAAATTAATGAGAGAAGGAAAACAAATGAAGTGAGCCTTTCTATTGTTCAGGCTTAGTTTTTGGAGACAGTTCCAGGTTGTAGTGCAGGGAGACAGTTATCAGTGTCACTGAACAGAAAATACAAAGATAGACATTAAAGGGGCCAAGGCAGGCAGAGAAGAGGGAGATGCAGAAGTAGAAAGAGCTTTATGAACCTCAGAAGGGTCACGCTGATTTTTTGGCTGAGTATTAATCTATGCATATGCGAGAAAAAACTACCTGAGGTCACAGGAAGAACAAATGAAAAATAGTATGTCAAATATTCCCAGTTTTCACTGAGCTGGGAAGAGTTTGTGTTTCTACCATTCAGAGGCCTTGTAATACACAGGGAACTGGGTAGAGGCCTCAAATGATTCTAAGCTTAGTAGTGGGACAAAATTATCTTTAGTCTAAAATTTCTTTGTAGCTACTGTAATGAACGTTAAGTGAAAATCCTGGATAGACCAAACTAATTCAAGTAGTTTACTGTGTATCATAAAAAGTTCAATGTCACATAAGGAATAAAACAAAATCCAGCATACAAGAATATAAAATTTTCAATGCTAGGTATCCAGTACAAAATTACCAGGGAGAAAAAGAAGAAGGATAATATGACCTATTATTAAGAAAAAAAAAAAAAAATCAAACATTAGAAACACAGAAAAATGATAGAGATGATGGATTTAGAAAACAGTAAAACAGATTTTCTTCGTATCTTTAATAGAAGTAAAAATGAGCATGATGAGGAGAAAAAGAAAATATATAAATTAGACAAGTAGAAATTTTTGATATGAAGATAAAGTAAATGAAATTAAAAGAAAAATACACTAGATATGATAAATAAGAGTAGACAATACAGAAGAAAAGATTAGTGAACTTGAAAACAGCATAGAAAGAAGATGAAAACAAAATGAAAAACAGCATTAGTGATTCGTGGGACAATATCAAGCAGTCCATCATATGTGAACATTGAGTTCAGAAAGGGAGAGGAGCAAATAACAAAAGAAAGAAATCATGGCTAAAGTTATGAAACTTATAAATCCATAGATCTAACAATTCAGTAGGGTTTAATCACAAAATCATTGCACGAAATGAAAGAAATCAGACCCAAATGATAACATACTGTAGAACTTCATTTTCACGAAATTCCAGAAATTGCAGACATATTATGGCAGAAGGCAGACCCATGGATGTTACAGGTTGGAGGGTGGCAAAAGGGAATTGACTGTCAACAGCATGAGCAGATGTTTTAGGGTTATGGAACTTTTCTATATCATGAATTTATGGTTGACATGTAACTGTATTTATTTGTCAAACCTCAAGAAATTGTAAATTTAGAATTGGTGGATTTTATTGAAAATAAATTAAACCTCTATGAAGATGATCTTAAAGAAATCATTTGGCAGTGTAGAATATAGGAAAACATAAAGTAGGAGATTCCCAGATGTGTTTGTTCTATTTCTCATGAAATTTTGACAAAATCAAAGTATTTTAAAATTACCTAATGTAAAGGTGAAACAATCTGTCTAAATTACTCCCTCAAAACAATTCATTTTAATGTTTCTAAATTTTCTAGACTATTTTCAAATATCATTTAAATGGATGTCTCCACTGTTTAAGTACAAATGCTTATGTTAAAAGAAGTAGGTAGTGGCTATGCTTCACAGAAATTCGGTGTACAGTGCTAGATGGAGTATAAATTGTTTTACTATAGACAGAATTCTATTCCTTAAATTTCAAGTCTAATTCTAATTATCTCTTGTGGTAACTTTAAAATATGTTAACTTGGTTAGGCTGAATAACATTTCTCCAAATTCCCTTTCTAGTATATATCCGATTATCACAGGTAATACAAGAGATTCTTGTGGGAGATAAGCAGAGTGGACTTGAAAGAGGGGGTATTTTGAAAGTCACACATATTGTCAATTAACTGCAGGCTGACACCTTTCACCTGGGCTGGGGCTGCATCTGCTCCAAATTTCTCCTACATCGTTCTTCACCTTCTCTGACTCCTGGGACAGGTGTGTACATTTGGTTCTGTGGCCCTGTCTTCTGCAAGACACCAAATTACCTAGGTGGGGAGCACACAAACTGGCATGGGGTTCAGTCCATCCTTGTGGTTTCCTTGCTTGTGAGTTCCAGCTTCTTATTTTCCTCCACTTTACAGTTGCTCTTGAGTTGATTCCAACTCATGGCAAAGCTAGTTTCACAATAGAAGATGCACATATATAAGCTTACATTTTTCTCCTTAGGAAAACTTCTTAAAAAAAGAAAAAAATTACAAGTCATTTTAAAAATATGAGGAATGAGCAGTTAAAAAATTAACCATAATATAATTCAAAGTTACCACAGAGATAGCTGAATGCTTTTCTAGAGGCATTTTGAGAAGTTTTTACTTGTCTTCACAGAACAGTATCAAGGATTTTAACAAACAGAAGGGAAAAGATTGTCTCTTGCAGAATTGACAATTGCTATTCCAGAACCTTCCTCTGCACTGTATTTTCTGCACTGATAGAACATTAAAATACCACAGTATTTCATGTCCAGTGGCAAAACGACAGCTCTGTGACCAGTTAGTTGTACAGCCACTAAGAAACTAATTAGCATTATTACAGAAGATCGTATATGATAATTAACAATTAAACTTAAACTTTCAGAGGAGACGCTGCTTCTCCCTAGAGGAGACGCTGCATTGATAATTGCTGAAGGAGGTACTTAATGAAATTTTCTTCATATATCAGTTACATAATTATGTTTCTTTGTGGCAGCCATTAATATTTAAATGCGTCATGCACACCTGTAACTTCGAACTCACTTCTCTGTGTAATTAGATACAATGTTTGAATTTTTATCAACAATATTATATAGTAGCTTTATTTATTTTTTTAATTTTAAAACTAGTTGCTATTAGAATATTTGGCCACAATTATTTTTAAGTTATGTATTTTCAATAAACAATGAAACCAAGCATATAGATATGAACTATTTGTGCATAATAATATGCCAAAGGCTCAATGTTCAAAGCTTTTATATAAAATTCATTATCTTCAAAGAACAGCCTGAAGCTTAGTCAATTTTCTTGGGAATATTGCATTGCATATGTTATTTTTCTCTTTCAACTCGGTATGTATATTTTTATATGGCAATTTTTAGGAAATAATATCCTTTTAGTTGCTTATCAGTAGCAAAATATAGATGGAGTTAATAACAACGTGGGAGAGAAAAACATATTTCACCCCTAATAATTTGGTGTACTTGTTCATATTTAGTAATTTTAACTTTTTTTTTTAAGTTCTCTGCTTTGTGTCCTGAACAATGTAACTCAGAGTGTGAAACATGATAAGTTCTCCACAATATGTTTTTGATATTTGAAACTATATGCCTTTTCATATTTCGTACTGAATCTCCTAAATGTAACCTAGGAGACTCTCACTTGAGTTGGCCCAATGTTGTGTTATATTTTTATCCCCAAGATAGCTTCTGCATCATAAATGTGAATTTTACAACTTGTATCCTACTCATTTATACTATTTTTTAAAATGCAAATTTTGAAGAAAACAAAACCCATTGCCCTTGACTTGATTCTGACTCATAGCATTCTTATACAGGGTTTCTAAGACTGTAAATCTTTACAGAAGCAGACTGCCACATTTTTCTCCCACAGAGTGCCTGGTGGGTTTGAATTGCCAACCTT